GGAGTATCGGGCGATGGTTGAAGAATGATTTATGAACGGCTTAGAAGGTATGTTTTAAGAATATTAATATTCGAGATCAAAATACTCGACATACCCAAACTCGTCTCACTCATATGATCACATCGTAAGCAGATTCGATGGACTCATTCTATACAATCTATAAAATCGACTTGATTGGAAATTACAGTACCCGTTCCCACGACAGTCGGGTCTACGAAAACCGGAACGGACCCGGATTTTTATCCGGCCAAGGACTGTCAACTCGGCAGAATTCTGCCGTTACAACAGTAATAGAATCATTTCCACGACATTCGGGCCTAATTGAAGTTAACTATTGTAACTGGAACGTACCCAGATTTTATTAAAGATTTAACCGGACAAGGACTGTCAACGCGTCACCATTCCACAAAATGGCTTTATGAATATTTTATGCCGCAACAGCAACAACAACAGGCTATAATACTGTGCTCTAAACAAATGCTCTTAGCATTTCACTAGGAAGTGTTGATTTATATATAAATGTACTCAAAAATCATCTATTCTACAAAGGAATAAGTTATTTTCCAACTTGGTGAATCAACGTCGCATGGCCTTTTCTAACAACGTCAATACAATTTAAATGCTCAAACTGTAAGTGAAAGAAGCTTCAATTTCCATACTCGTCACATAAAATGTTGAGTACAGCGCCCTTTATTGGCACACCAGATAAAGATGAAACGCACGCTTAACGGCAAATGACTTTACAAAGCGTAAATATATAATATTTTATATCAAATTTGTTGTAAGTGCGCAAAAAAATTGGACTGCGTCAAAATTGTGTTCGCTTGCAAATGTGTCGCACATGCAATTGTCGACTGCAGGGGGGCGGGAGGTCATTTAACGGCATATATATTATTAGCAAAATTAATATGTTAAGCTTACTTCACTGGCTTTGTTCCATTAAAATTTGTTTAAAATGAATGCAAACGTTTGCTTACTTTCTTAAATATTTGTTTTCTTTTTGTTTTTGTAAAATTTCTTACATGCATATTTCGTTTATGATAAAATGGTTAAATGAATTGTATGCTGCTATCACAATAATTTGATTACAATTAAATTTTCATTATTAATATGTATTTTAAATTTCATTTTAATACGTGTTTGCAAGGTTGGATTTTGTTTATTTATTTTGTTGTTGTTTTTTGTTTGTTTTTAGCTTTCTCGTTTTACCCTATAATAAAGGGTTGCTGTGTTGTTGTATTTATGGTAATTTATATTAACTTAACTAGCACTTAAATGTAATTCGTATTAAAAATAATATTATTTATGTATGTGTGTGTGTGTGAGTATTTGCACACATACGTACATGTTGTCGTTTAAATATTAAAATTTTTTGTTTTATATATGTATGTATGTAGTTACAGTTACTAGTTATTATAAATAATATTCGTGTGATGATTTGAAACTGAATTTACAGCATTTATGTAAGTAATTTTATTATGTTGCGCAGTGTAATGTGTACAATGAACGAACTGTATACTATTTGTATTTATTTTCTGCACAAACTAAATCAATAATATTTTTGCATTTTATTTTTGATATTTTTTAATTCTATTTTGGAAAATGCTTTCAATTCTTTTTTGAAATTTTTTTAAATTCTATTTTGAATTTTTTTTAAATGCTACTTTGAAATTTTTTTTCAATTCTATTTTTGAAAAATTTTCGAGTTTATTTTAGTTATTATTTTCTTGAATTTAATTTTTAATAATTTTCAATTCTATTTTAAACTATTTTCGAGTGTATTTTAAGTTTTGAATTTTTATTTTTTAGTTTGAATTTTTTTGGCTTTATTTTTAATTTTTCAATTTTATTTTAATTTTTTTGTTTCTTTTTGCCAAGTTCATTATTTTACCTATGCATGTACATATGCATTTTGAACTCACTTAACATATACATATTTACTTTTATTTTTTCTGTAAGTTTTTTATTTGCTGCTACATTAATGTTATAAGTCTGTAGGTTTGAGCGCATATTCACAACTTCGCTTGACAGCGTTTGCTGATTTCGAAAACTACACAATTTGTAGTCATAAAAATGCATAAAAAATAGTTTAGTTTTCCAAAAAATAAACAAATATTTGTTTTTGTTCTTTTAACTAATTTAATATTTTTTTATTCTGAAAAATAAAATCTGAATAACACGATTTTTTCGGTATAATTGCTTTAATCAAGCATTTCGTTATAAATAATTGTTTCAATAAAGTGTTTTGTTAGCAGTAAGTTTTGTTAGTGTTAAGTTAAAGCAGAATCAATAGCAAAGTGACGATGGTAAGTCGAGTTGTTTAAAAAAATTATATCTTTCAATTATTTTAGTAATATTTTGTAGATTAGAAACAGGGTTGCAAATAATGCCTTAAAAATAATTTAATTTACATTTAAATATTTTTTTTTTGTAAACCCAAAAATCTTAATTAAAAAAAATTTTAAAATTTTAATCTCAAGAAAAAAAATGTTAATAAAAAAAATTGCCAACCCTGATTAGCAATGAAAAAACAGCGCAAGTAAAATTTTTGGGTTAAATTTTAAGTTGAGATATTTTTTTAATAATAAACAGTTTTCAACTAAGAATTGTTTAATAAAAATGAATATTGTTAATTGTATCAAATAACAAAGCATAATTAGTTTTTTACAAAAAAATTTAATAAAAAATAATTAATTAAGAAAAATGCATAATTTATACTTTCAATGCTAATTATGCTGTAATATAATTAATTATAATGCTTTATTGTTTTCAAATTAACGTGTAAATAATATTAAAAAATTTTTCCCTTCAATAAAATAGTCGAAATATGTTAGTTATGCGCTTTGTATATTAAAAGTCGCCAAATACAGCCATTAAGAGTAACCGCATTGATTTTTTTTCATGCTTCTGTAAATATTATCGTAATTTGAAAGTCTCCCTGCTTAGAATAAGATTTATATAAAGACCAATATTGAGTCTCAAAGAAGTCTTAAACATTACCTTAAGGGGTTGTAACCACTTGTGCATTTCAAAAATTTGATTTTTATTGCGCATATATAGTTGAACTTCCAAAACTAAAATTTGTTTAACTCGAAGTTCAAATAACTCAAAGTTCTCCATAACACGTATTCTTGAATTGACAATATAATTAATCGGTTTTTTATTTCGCATATACAGTTGAACATAACTGGAAGTCCTCCATAATTCGAAATCTTAAATTATCAATAGAGGTCAAATTTCATATCAATTTCCTTCTATAACTCGAAGTCTCTCTAACACGAAGTGTTTTTGTGGATTGTGATGATTCGAGTTTGGGAAGTTCAACTGTATATCGAAAGTACATATCTTCGAGAATATTCTTCGAAAATTTTAAAAGTTGATTCGACAAATAATTTTGAAGATATAAACGTTTTTATCAGATATTTTAATCAGTGCTATCGGCTCCCAAAACTTTAAAGTTTAAAGCGTTTTTTCGAAATGTTGTTTTCTGAGTTAGTGAGGATCGATGGACTCGCGAGTTTTCACACCACTTTCCACATATACATATTGTGAAAGGAATAAGAAATAATTTCGATTTCTAAACCAACCTTGAAATGTAAATTTGATAAAAAGAACTGCATGTTTTTGGCAAGCCGTCATTTTGTCAAAGATCAAAAGTTTCAGTAGTTCTTCGATTAAAATCTGTATTCAACTTGAGTAATTTTTTTTTTTTTTGTTTTGAATTTGAGTAGATTTTTCAGTAGAAAAACCTTCCTTCTTTGAGTAGAAAATTTTTTATGCAGAATAATCTTCCTTCGCGCCGGACAATTTTTTTCGGAAGCCCTTCTGAACATTAAATGGAATCCAAAAATTGTAAAATTAATCGCTGATTATTAAATTGCATGAAACTCTTTTAATCTACAATATTTTTTATTTTATTTCTATATTTTTGTATTAAATAAAATGCTTCTTCCAAAATAATTAGTCAAAAAATGAGTTTTTTCTGACTTAAAAAGTGGATATAAGCCCTTAAGTCGACTAATGATGATATTGACGCAGATTTAGTTAAACATTTGGTTTTTATTTTGAAATTAATCGAGTATTAGCAATGTTTAAATTTGTATCGAAATATCTGAATGTGTTTCTAAAGTTAAATGCTTCAAAATTTTAATTTTAATTAAAGAAAAAAATTAAAAATGCTAATTTGTGTAATTAAATACATTTTCTAGGGTAAAGCAGGTTTATTTGCGTTTTTTTAAGTTCAACAAAAACAATAAAAAAAGTATGAATGAAGCTATATTTTAAATTTTTTAATTGACACATTTTTTTTTGGAAAACAGATTTTTATTATTTTTTTTTAAATATTTAAATTTTTATATGTTTTTTATTCAAAGAATTTATAACATAAATAAAGATTTTTAAGGTAAATCAGTGTTTTAAGGTTCAAGAAAAACATATAAATTAAACTATTTTTTTCTCAATTGATAATTTATTTTCGAAAAAATATTTCTATTATTATTTTTAATTTTTATGTTTTTTTTTTTAATCAAAGACTTTATGACATAAATTATAATTTTTAACACCTAGCTGCAGGTTTTCAAAAGTTTTTATGGCAGAAGGTATATCAAAAATATTTCCAAATGCTTAGCTACCTCCAATTGTGGTGTATTTGGCGCGTCAAAATTTATTATTGTATTATTTATGTTAGTTGTTATGACCATACATATGTATTGTATAATATATGTAATTTTATATGTACTTTGAAAGCCTTTAATTGTTACTTCATATTTTTCACTTAAATATTTGTAATTAATCTCAATTGCAATGATACTGACGGTTGTTGGCTATTACTATATATATTTATATACATATATTAAATATTTTTTGTTTTTGTTTGCACAAATTGCATTTTTACAACTCAGTTTTTGTAATGAAAATGTGTACGAATTTATTTATGTTTGCATGTACTCGTATGTATGTATGTATGTGTATAGATTTGGCATATTATAAAATTTTTTATTTATTTATTTCTTTTTCAAATTTGAACATCTTTTGATTTGCGATATTTGAGTGCTTGCCGAAAAAAAATTAATTGTTGCACAAAATTGCTTAAAATTTAGTTTGCAAACACACAAAAAATGAAAAAATATGCATAATAAAATTTCTATTTTCATTAACATAGAGAATCGAGTAAACAAATTCGTGTAAAGAAACATGAAATTAATCAATGGCGCAGATCACGATTTTTCGCTTTGATTTTGTAAATACAATTAATTTATACATTTATGTATGAACATGAAAAATGCACGCGACTGTAGGAAAAATTTCACACTTTTTTCTCCTTCAACTAACGTCAAGCAGCTCGCGCTTGTACACAAACGACAACTTAAAATAACCACAACGAGGCGTAGTACTTGGATTCTTTTGTAAATTTGATTAGCATTGGCACAAACTTACGTCTTAAGTCATTTTTATTCCTCTGACTTCAAAAAAAGTTGAATAGGAGCTGGTCACTTACATATTTTTGCTATGCTGAGCCATTAAAGGTTAGTGCTATTGTTGTTGTTTTAGCTCCTCCTGCCAGCACTACTTCGTGTTCCTGTTATTGTTGTTTTTCGTTGCTGCATACGCTTGTCTTGCGCTTTCTTCACAGCTTGTGCTTACTGGCTTGTTCGATTGTTTACTTTGGCTCGACTGGCGATTATTTTAAGTTGTCCTTGTGAATGTATGTATCTATGGTTGTATCTATGTATGTATGTATGAATGAAAGTTAATTGTTAATGTTGCTTAAACCGAACTAGTAATCTTATTGTATTTCTATTTTTATAATTTTTTTTCTTCTCATAATTGCTGCAGTAATTTGCTGTTGTTGTGTAAAGTCATAGCTGTTTCAATAGACAGCCTTTGTCCAACTTAATTAACTTGCCTTGGAACGCATACGCTGTCGTTCACGTCTTACCATCATCGCAATCGTAATTGTTGTTGTTGTTATTGCTGTCGCATTTACTTCGCCTCGCCATTACCGCGTTAGTCAGTTAGTGTTTAGTTCGTTTCTTCTCTGTTACATTAGTCAGACTAATAATCGTATTCGGTGGTGCTATTTTCGTGGCAGCTACTGTCAACCGCCCATTCACCTGTTCAACTTCCACCAAACGCTCGTGTCGTTGTTGTTGTTGTTGCTGTTGCTCATCCTCACCTTCACCGTTCAACAAGCGTGTGTGCTCCGATTCAACGGCACTGCTGCCCCCCTCCTCAGCGGTTCATAATCATTGTACAGTGTTGGCTAACATAGCGCTTGTTGTTGGTGTTGGTCCAACGCTGGCTGCAGCTGCTGCGGCCGCCGCCGCTGCCGCTGTTGTTGTTGGCCGTTCGCCCACATCTTGACAGATGGTGTGTAGCTTTTCCATTTCCGATTTCGTCACTATATTAATTGAGCTAACTTTGGCGCGTTGATATGCCACCACTGTGTTCTCTCCCAAACACTTGATACACACATAGCCAATGAGCACGGCAATGCCGACGGTGAGTACGCGCACCAGCGGATCAACATATAGTTGAATGACCACCCAGGCGCTGGCGCCGGCGACACACATCAGCGTGATCAGTATGATTGTCTTGGTCCAGTGTTGCATGTTGAAGCCCTTTTCCCAGTCGAGTCTGCAATTTTGGTGCAAAAATGAGTATATTAAGTGATATGAGCGTAAGTGAAATCAGTTTCGAAGAATATTTTTTATTTACATTTTATTTTTTTTAACTCTTAATGCTAAGCAAGGGCCCTATAAAATATGGAATTTTGTAACAAATCAAGAAAAAACGTTAACTTCGTTTAAACCGAAGCAATAATACACTTCACAARTAAAGTTTTCCATACAAAAACTGGATTTTTATCGATCAGTTTGCACTGTTGTTTCATTTTGATCGCTCAGTTTGTATGATAGCTGTATGCTATAGTGGTAGGACCTGGAATATGGAATTTTGTAACAAATCAAGAAAAAACGTTAACTTCGTTTAAACCGAAGCAATAATACACTTCACAATTTTGTAACAAATCAAGAAAAAACGTTAACTTCGTTTAAACCGAAGCAATAATACACTTCACAAGTAAAGTTTTCCATACAAAAACTGGATTTTTATCGATCAGTTTGCACTGTTGTTTCATTTTGATCGCTCAGTTTGTATGATAGCTGTATGCTATAGTGGTAGGACCTGGAATATGGAATTTTGTAACAAATCAAGAAAAAACGTTAACTTCGTTTAAACCGAAGCAATAATACACTTCACAAGTAAAGTTTTCCATACAAAAACTGGATTTTTATCGATCAGTTTGCACTGTTGTTTCATTTTGATCGCTCAGTTTGTATGATAGCTGTATGCTATAGTGGTAGGACCTGAGTAATTTCTTTAGACATTGCATCGTTGCTTTGAATAAAATTCATGCCAAATTTGGCAAACATATCTCGTAAAATGAAAAAAAAAAAATTCATACGAGAATAAAACTTTTATCGTTCAGTCTGCATGGCAAACGTTCTTCTAAGGAACCTTTCATATTTGTGTGAAGGATATTATGGCTTCGTTAACGTTTTTCCTTACTTCAAATAGTTAGTTATTACAACTAAAGCGAGCGATAGCTAAAAATTATAACAATTTTATTTGTATCTTAAATACCACATAATAAATACTATATTATTATAAATATTAAATTACTTACTTTTTGCTCTTCTCAATTTCATACGGGAAACCACAAACTTTACACGACAACTGCGCATCTGGCGAACTACAGCTCTCCACTAGCCAACGTTTGAGACACTCATGATGTACAGAACTAACATCGCCGGTGCAGCGGCATGGCTGTATGAGCGGTTCGGGCTTGTCACTATCATAACAAATCCAACAGTCTTTTTTCGTCAAAAACGATTGACCTTCCTCGGGTGACAGGCTTTTGGTTTCCGCCGATGTCGTCGGTATAGATGGGTCAATTTGACGCGACAGCAATTTACGTGGATTTAAGATCCACAGCTGTTCGGGCGCCATTGAATTCCACAAGCAGCAAGGGAACCAAACAGCAACACCCATCTCTACAATGCGGAAGACAATGTCATGCCAATTGCGTGAGTACACTGGCACTCTAAGAGTACAAAAGGAGGAAATAAAAAATAACATTTATTGATTCATAAAATTTAGTATTAATGTGAAACTCACTTTGTTTTCCAGAAATCACCCAATGTCTCTGATGTGAGGAAGCCCACAATGACTATTAACATAATCGCCTGTGATAATAAACCCAAGCGTGACTGGTGCAGTTGTGAGGCATTTACAATCGCTTCGCTGGGTCCAAGTATTTTGCCAGTTTGATCGTAAACGAAGCCGCCGCGCAATTTGAAAAACACTTCGACGCCATAGATCAAAAAGAACACGACCACAATGAGCAAGAGTACGGCATAACAGCCGTTGAAGATGTGCGCATAATTCTGTCGATCGTTGATAATCAACGAAGAAAAAACCTCAACGCCGAATAAGCTGTAGAGGAATAAGTTAAATGCTACAAAGCCGAGGAAACTCTTCGATAGAAATTGTGACTTCTCCCAACGGATGTCGCGTAAATGGAAAATCTGAAAATAAAAACAGAGAAATTCGTTGAGTGACCCAAAGTAAAAAAAAAAAACAAATAAGGAAGCGCCAAGTTTTGGTGTAACCGAACATTTTATACTCTTGCAACTCGCAAGAATTAAACTTGCGGATATTACTTCAGACTCTGGAAAAGCTTTTTTCAAAAAATTTCGGAAAGAATTGAACATTCAATATTCCAGAAATTGTGAGTAAATTACAATGAAATTTGGAATATTCGTGACTTATATTAAAGGTGATTAACTTAGCCCTAGCAGTGATCTTTTAAGAAGATTACCAAAGAGGTAAGGGCTAACCCTAAAACCACTTCTCGCATTATTAAACGGTTTAAGGAAGATGAGAGCATTGACAGGAAGAGAGGTTCTGGTAAAAAGAAGGGGCCACATGATCGTGAAAACGTTGTGACTATTCTCAAGAAAGAGCCAATCCTTGCGGACAGGAACCTCGAAGCAGTGTTGCTGAAAAATTTAAAGTGACAAAATTTCCAAAGAAATTTCTTGTGTGGCAGGTTGCTTCCATTTCTAAGCCGACATGAAGTGTCCACGTTTGCCTCACTTCATGTCACCACAGCAAAATAACCTTAGAGAAGCGAATCCATCTAACTATCCAGAACTTAGGCCGCTTGAGAGATACTGGGCTTTAGTAAAACGAGACATGAAGGAAACAAAAAAAGTGACCAAGGACCTTCAAAACTTTAAAAGAAAGTGATCTTCAGCAGCTATGAGATTAGCAAAGGACAGTACCACAAAAGCAGTAATGGACGGGGTTCGGGAAAAAAATTAAAATCATTAATAAAACATATTTTTTTGGTTTCTTTTCCTGTTTTTACAAATTTAAAAAAAAATTTTAATAAAATATTTTAGTTTATAAAAATCGGACAACTGGTCGACGCAGTCCTTAGTTTTTAACAGTAAGGTTATATGGGGAATGGGCACATTGTTAGTAGAAGTTCTTATAAAAATTGACCTAAGCGAATTTGACAATTATAGCTATAGTGGTCTAAGAGATGTGTACATTAAATCTATTAGAAGGCGGTGCCAAATCCACTTTTTGAAAATTTTAAGCGCAAAGATGTGCAAAATATTTAATTACATATCAATTCAGATGTAATACACTTATGTTAACGACTTTTTCAGTCCACGAAACACTTTTTATAAGCATTGGCCTTCAGTTCTTTCAAAGAACTTTGTTTTATATTTTCAATCGACTGTAAACGGGTTCCAATTCGATGATTGTTGACTTTTTTGCATGTCAAACTCGTAAACTCATGTCTCACCGGCATTTACAATGCACTCCATGAATGTAGGATCGCAATTCGCACGATTAAGCATGTTCACGGTATAGCTTTTGAAAAAAACTTTGGCGCTATCTTTATGTTGATAGCCAAAATATTCACTAAAATTATTCGAGCAGACTCGTGAGAGATCTCTCTAACACTTGCCCGACGATTTTCAAGCACCAGATCCTTCACTTTCTAATATTTTCATCAATTGAAGAGGTCGACCACCTCGTAGGCTTGTGTTTTTGATAAAACTGAATCAACGTAAGCCTTTTGCAACATTCGCAACGATTTCGAACACGATATTTGGTTAGAAATACAAAATATGAGACAAATACTTTCATCGATATTTTTATCCATTGTAAAAATCGCAACACACTACTGAGGTGTACCGACTTAAGCAGCTGCTGTAAACGAATTGGTTAAGAGTTCGCGCTCATACTTGCATAGTAATTTAGAACAGTTCTACCAACTTGGAAAATTACATTTTTTCAAAATATTATTTATTCGGGAAATTTTCGTCACAATCTACTCTGTAGCAACATTTTACAAGAGCATAATAATATTTATAGAGTCAGGACGTTTTTTTTTTATAAAATCTGTACTTATATTATTTTCTTAGAAAAATATTGTAAGTATTGAAATAAATTTTTTATTTTAAAAATAAAATTACCACAATAATGATTTTTAGGCACAACAAAAATATTAGATGATTTTAACGGAATTTTAAATTCAATTAATTGAGCGCACACCTGAAATGATAAAGTCTTTAGTCTGTTTTTCCTTAATTCATCATATATTATTTTTAAAATTTTTACACATTATTATCATAGTTCAAAAAAATGTGTTTAATGAGTAACAAATATTAAATTTTTTTTATAAATTTCAGTGACTTTTAAACACGCACATCCTCGCGATTTGGCAGTTTCGAATTGAATGTTTATGAAAAATTTATTATTCTGCACTTTCATAATAAATAAAACGCGTTGATAAAAATTCATGAAAAAATATTGACTGTTTTTAGTACGTAGAAAGCAAATAACAATGGAAAAAAATAAACAAAGTAAAAAAAAATAGCTAAGAATACCTCCAATTGCTGCGATAATAGTACTATGTACTAAAAAAAATTAATTAAATGTACTGAATTATCAACTGACGTGTTTTTATACCGTTAATATGGTTCAGTGATTACAAAACACCTATAAACATACATAAATATAATACAATATCAAGGATACTTGCACTCAAAGTGAACTATAGAGTTGTTGTCAATTTGTGGTTGTGGTGTTCAATATAACGCTATTAATCGAATATACCGAAATTTAGATAACTCAACTACTGCGGCGATAACGGGCGGGTGAGAGGGCGAAATAATTAACTCAATGAGCGAAAATTAAAAAGTTGTAAATCTATTACTGCTTTATAACTGGGCACGTTACATCACATTACTGTAATCCACAGAGCGGTTACTGACCCATGAACACAAGGCGTGAGTTACATGTACATTAAATTATTACAATGGTGGTGCCCTGAAAGCAATAAAGTTTAGTGTCTTACAGTCTGTTACTAAATTGGCTAACTTTTATTAATTATTGGGTCGGTGTCTGAGTAATGCTCCTTTTTTGTGCAATTTAAATACGATTTATTTTTATTGTGTTCCTACGACAGTCGGGTCAAAGTAATCGGAACGGACCCGGATTATTATCCTGTCAAGGACTGGCAACTCGGCACCATTTCTCGAAACTGCTTCAGGAATGTTTTATGCCTCTACAACATCAAATTTAATCTCTTAACAATCTCTCGAGTTGTTATTTGGCGATTTGCAGCGACCAACGAATTTATTTTATCGACAAAATATTTTGGAAAATATTTCACAAACAAGTATATTATATAATGCACATATGTATGTATGTTCAAACATGTATATAACGATAAAGCGGTTGAGTGTGAAGTTGGCTGCGAAAAAATTCAATAATAATGATTAATTAATGAACGACCCAATAGTTAATTAGTTCTTATCGAAATATGAAGTGAAATATACATCAAATGTTTATTAGGGTGAACCAAAAAAGAAATATTAATATCAAATGTATGGTTTAAATGGACCTATGTATATTCAGAAAAAAACATTTCCGCAAGGCGGCCTTATTAGCTTGAAGCCAGTGGGTGAGCAAGTTAAAGTTTCAAAGCTTTTAATATACAATTAGAATTTTCAAAAAATCGATTTTTTTTAATTCGAAGATTTCTTCTCGCCGATAAATATTTCTTTTATAAACAATTCAAGGCCGAAATGTTTGGTCAAATTTTTTTTGTTTTTTAAAAACCGCCATTTTGAAAAAAATTTTTTTTGTGTATTCCTTCGATTAAGGGGTTATATATGTACGTTGCGATCGGTCAAAAAATCGGAAATTTTTTAATGCTCCATCAGAAAGTATAAGTCTTAGAGAATGTTCTCCCAAATTTTTATAAAGATTTGTGCATTAGAACCAAAGTTATAGCGTTGCATAACGCACGTAGTCATAGGACGAAAGTCTAGCACATGCTGCTTAAACGTGATTATTTGGAAATCGTTTTTTTTTTTCATTTGGCGTGAGCACGATTGCAAAGAATCTATCTCACCGCTTTTCTTTATTTTTTTTAATTCTTTCATAACTAATGTAGGCAGTCCGAAGTCTTTTTTATATAAATTTAAATTGCAATTAAATAAAAATTTGTGAGACGGTAAACATGACTTTTTGAAAACATGAGCCTCGTTTCCACAAAAATTTTTTTTAGGAAAACCCTTCTTTCACGGACCCCGCACGGAATCGTGCTCACCGTCAAACTCTTCAAGAAGATCGCATTTTGAGGAAAGCGCACAACTCTGATATTTTTCATTGTTTCTGAATGTCTAAATGTATTTTTTCACTTCGCAATATGTTCTTTCGAAACGGATAACTCATATTCAATAAAAATGAGCGCTACATCCCCTAAAAAATTCCCAAATGTTCCTTTATTTTTCCGCAACACAACGTATATAACCCCTTAATTACTCGATTTAACATTACTTTCATGAAATCTGTAGGTTTTTTAATTTCTGAGGATCCAGTTCAGAGATATAGTGGTCGCCGCAAAACATATTTTTTGAGAGGAGCCCCCGGTGCTGTAGTTCCTTTCCAAATATGTAAATATTTTTACTAATACTAAGTAAGAAATAATTCTAGAAAATTCGCTCTTTATCGGTCTTCTGACTGTATACAACCTCTTAAAGAAAAAACCTCGATATTATTATTTTTTTTGCTCACCCTAAGAAATATTTGTTTGGTGCACATTGATTCAAATAAAATTAGATTTCACTTGAAAAATATTGAGTGCAAACCACTTAGGAAAGTTAACATAAGAGTGCCCTGTATGAATCCACATTAAAACCTACCTACCTGTGGCAGGGAATAAACGCAGGCAAATGCACTTCCACAAATTCTAAGTATATAAATAGGAAAGCTGAAAGTTAAATACTGCAAAAGATCTTAAAAACATCATAAGTGGCGCAGTTATGAAAAACTCTGATTCACTAAATTGCTCCTCTTCTTTTTCAACAGAAAAACTTAATTAAATAAAATATGAAAAACGTCACTATGAAGTCACTCAAAAACAAGAAAAAAGGTAATTTCAACTGCACTGATGCAATAATACCCTTCACAGGTGCATTGCTCACCCTTTTTCTAGCAACGTTTTGGTCTAAACAATCTTCAAGTCGAATTAAGGAAGTCATCCCATGTGACGGTTTCAAAAAATCGATATTTTTTTTTTTTTGAACAACTCCAAACTAGAGCATTCAAAGAATTTGAAGAAATTTGTGTTTTTGTTGTAAAAGTTTTTTTTAAGAGACGGAAAGATGTAGTATATACTATCTATCGTAGAAGCTTGAAGGTGAATAGCCTCCTAGGAATATTTTGCAATACGGCAGCGAGATTAGAAGTCATTTAAGACGCGATTTATTTCAGAAAATACTGAACGCCATTCAGAGTGATGCTATTAAAACCTTCATTTATTCCGTGCCGGTGAAAGGCTATCTTAGAGTCCAAACACCGCCTATCGCAGATGCTGCACTACTTCGTTCTGAGTATTTAAGTAGATTAAACTCCTATCTATGTTGAATTAACTCTGGCATGCTAACCCTACATAAGTCCTACATACAAAGAGACCATCGAACTTCACCTAATATTTCTTCTTTTCCACGATAGTCGGGTCTAAGTAACCGGAACGGATTTTTATCCGGCCAAGGATTCTGAACTCGGTACCATTCCTCGAAATTATGGTCATATGACTTCGATGACAGTTAATTTTGGGCTCTCATACAGCAGCACTCGAAAAGATATTTTTTGTTCAATAAGCATTCGAATTGGCCATTGAAATCCTATTCGGCACCCAAACACCACATCTTTGTCACCAAAGTTTCAAAGGCAAACTATATGGCAAACTATTTTCGCTGTCTGGTGAGGTCTAAGACTCACGATTCATTGATGTTTTAAAAGAATTGTGCGAAGGGCTGCGATAATGCTTGCCGTGAATGCCAAATTGTTTGGGTTTTCAAGGTAATATTTTAAGAATCTATTAAATCTTATCCAAATATAGTATATCCAAGTTCATTTATTGGTTATGAGATTAGAAACATATAAGGGATTCACTTATTTGGTTATAAGCATGAATCCATATAGTAAAAATTAGACAGATCGGCTCTTAAAAATCGTTAAAAAACACTACTACTGGTAAGTGTTTCCGCTTAGGGGGCTAAAGCTCCGGAGTACGCTAAAATTTTGTATTGCAATAGGATGGAGTCATGTGTATTGCGGAGGATGGAGTCATGTGTAGAAGTTCACGCAAGTGAGGAAAGTTTTCTGATCGCCATTCACGTGGGAGTGGCCAGAAACGATTCTTTTACATATGACTCAAGCAG